CCCCAGCCATGGGTCAAATCCAGTATAGTTCCCCATAGAGTCTATGATACTGACTCAATTCCTCAAGCAGAGGTTGATTTTTATGAATCTTATTCTTAATCCCTAGCAGATTGAAATTAATCTCCAGCAGAGTGGAATCCCCGGAAGAGTGGAGTCATTCCCAGCAGTTTGCTTTGTTCCCTAGAAGAGTTGTATTCTGGAAGGCCATCTAGGGTTTGTTTTCCTCCAGCATAAGTCCAATCGTACTTGGCACCCAGTCATCCCCAGCGGAGTTGGCTTCTTCTCTTCAACATTTATTTTGCTGGAGTGGTTCCTTTGCATTTGCATTGTGCATAGCATCTTCCCAAACGCGTAGCATTTCCATTTCATATGGATCATTACGCCATATTCAAACATATGCATACGAAGCATAAGTTAGGTTGTTACCTCTTGTTTTCAGATGTATCTCCAGCAGATAACAATATATTCTCTTGACCCTGTGTGGTATCCAGACCCCGACAGAGTTATTGGTATATTCCCTTGAGCCTGTGTGGTATCCAGACTCCGGCGTATATTGATGTTTTTCTTGAGCCTGTGTGGTATCCAGACCCCGGCAAGAACCTTTGACAGATGTGTTCATCTATTCATTATCTCCCCAACAGAGTTTACTTATTCGAGTTTGTTCTTCCTCAGCGGATTTCTTCTTTCAGTTTGTAAATCGACGAATTCTCTTCTCAACTTCGTGTTGAGCCGGCCTTCGGGTTCGATGCCTATTTTAATTAACGGATGCCTGCTTGGATTAGCAGATGTTCTCAACTTCGTGTTGAGTCGGCCTTCGGGTTCGATGCCTGTTTTAATTAATGGATGTCTGCTTGGATTAGCAGATGTTCTCAACTTCGTGTTGAGTCGGCCTTCGGGTTCGTTGCCTGGTTTGTTTAACAGATGCCTGCGTGTTAGCAGATGTTCTTACCGACTTCGTGTCGTTACTTTTTAATTGATGGTGAGTTAGCCTACTTTTCTGCAACTATCAGTTACATTTCTCTAGTGATTTTACTTCCACTCTGGTGGACCATTATGCAGTTTACTAATTTTTGCAGTTGGCAAATTTCTGGGTTCTTTTGTATTCAATCACCTTTTATCTTGAATGTTGAAAACCGTTCGCTTTTCATCCCTTCAGGTCCAAGTCGTTTGAATAAGGGCAGCTGTTGCACCCCAAAATTTGCCAACCCCTTTTTTCTACCTCGACTGGCTTTTGCTTCGCATTTCATCTGCATATCATTTAGGTCGATCATTTACCGCATATAGTTCATGTTATCATCAGGAGTGATTTATCGGGATTACAGCCGCTTTGCTCGCATTTTAGACGATTCAAACCAGTTCAAATGATGAGTTCCATGTCCAGATCGAGCGAAGTTGTTCTCTTCTTAGTGGTTCAGGTTGTGCTGGTAATTTTGTCGCATTTCTGTGTTCGACCCCTTTTTCCGTTTATTTCGCTGCTTTTTCGTGACTTTTATTTCTATTTCCTGCTTTAATTTTCTTTTTATAGTTTTTTAGAACTTTATTAGAAATAGAATTAGAGTTTGGAATTTATTATAATTAGAATTAGTTTTTATTCTAATTAGGAAGTAGTAGTTTTAGAAAATAGATTTATTAGAAAGTATTTGTTTTTAAAAATAGGACTTTAATTGATTTTTAGAAAAAATAGTTTTAATTAGAATTTGATTAGTTTAAAATAGATTTTTAGTTTAGACTAATTAATTAAGTTATTTGATTAGGAGTAGATTTAATTAGTTTTTTTAATTAACTAGTTAGAATATTAGTATTTAGGTTAATTGGTATTAATTAGGTTTTAGTAATTATATTAGATTAGTTATTAGAATATCATTTAGTGCAGCGTTATTCACTATCAGTTAATTAATTCAGGATTAACAAAAACCAGCCTTGCCACGTGTCGAATTCCTGAGTATATAGTCTCCTGTTCATTCTCTCCTTCCTCTCAACCCTAGAAACCCAGCGCAGCTTCTACTGTTCATCCCCATTTTTCGATCTCCCCAAAACCCCACGCACCAGAATGAAACCCATCTGTTTCATTTCGCCATTACCAACAACCATTACAAACCACAACAACTTCCAAATAACCTCAAACCGACAAACCCACATCCGCGAATCTCTTCAAACCTAATCCACCATCTTCACCATTAACAAACCGAATCCCGCAGCAAAACTCCATACAACCCACAAAACCCATTCGACCCATCTTTCAACCCATTCACAACCCATTTCCGAAACCTTCATCTTCTTCCAATATCACAGAAAACAAACTCTCCAAAGATCATTACCCAGAAAGAAAATGAAAATAGAGGCGAGAGAGAGTGAGATCGATGGAGGGATTTTTGTTTGATGGAGACTCTGTTGTGCTTGGATTTCATTGCTGATGACAATAAACGTTGACCGCAAATCCACCCCTTTTTTGCTGTTTTTTAATTCATTTGTGTTGTTTGGTTTGGGCTACACCCACCGTGTTTTCAATATACCCCCCCTGATCAGATCTTTTCTTTTTTTTAGAAATGCAATATATTTGGTTTTAAAGTTTTTCTTTTATATTAGTTTTTTTAAAGACAGTTCAGTATGTATACTAGTTTAATTAATTTATAACAGTTTTTTTTTTGAATTTAGATTTATATATATTATTTTTCTAATTCAATCTTTCTAGAAGTTTTGTATATATTTCTAATCAGCTTCTATTAGAAGTTGGTAACATTTTCTTAGAAGTTAGATTTTAACAATTTTATTTACCTTTAAGGATTTATTTCCTCGATTTTGGTCGATGATGAGACCTCTAAGTTGTTATACGTCAAATTATTGATGGAAACGACAAATCCGAGACCCACTTTCTTTCTCCTTTCTATTTTCGACCGTTTATCCATCTTTGGTTATTTTCACCGCTTTTTTGGTCGATGACGAGACTTCCGTAATCCGTTACCAGTCAAATTATTGATGAATAATGTTGGATCCGAGACTACCTCCTTTTTCTCCTCATTTCTTCTTCTTTTCAATTTTATTTTGAATTTCCTCGATCGATGAAGTCTTGTATCCGTAAGCGTCGGATTATCGAAGTCGATAACCTTCCCGGTTTCAAATCTATGGAAAATGACCATTTGGGTCATTTTCTTTACTTTGGGATCGCGATAGGCTACCTTCGATTAATCGACATTATGTTTGCGATTAAGATGAGATCCCACTGTTTTTGGTCCATGCGACACAATTAAATTGGAGAATGATCCTCAATATCGTTTCTCTATCTTGTCCGTAGCACAAATATCAATACGCGACCTCCTATAGTTCGACTTCCCACATAATCGAGCTACGACGGTTTAGCGTCACATTGGTCCCGATTCGATTCATTAACCCTTTTGGACCTTAATTTCAAACTTGTAACCCCAATGAGTGTTGTGAGTTATAAGCGTTAGATACGTAGGAAATGATGAGTGGGGAACCTCTTCTCTCTCGTCTAGAGTGTTTAGCGTATGACTTTTGGGCAATATGCGGCACACTCGCTCCTACGTCTTAGGATTTAACGTGTGTGTTCCCAATTCGATCTGGTTCCCTTCCGTTTAGGCGTTCCAGGCCTAGGACCCTTTTCTCTCGTCTCCGTACGATTGAGACCTCTTTTCTCTCGCATCCGTGCGATCGAGACCCCTTTTCTCTTGTACTCGTGCGATCGAGATCCGTTTTCTCGTAGTTAGCCGAACAACGGCTGCTCTGATTTCTCATATTAGATGAGAATACGTAGGCACAAGACGACGATGTCTTGGTGAACACTCTCATTTAGTTTTACATCCTTACCTCAGAGTACGTTACTTTTCCGTTCTACCGCAAACATGCGTCGTCCCTAACTGCTGGAATGGAGATTTATAGTCACTCGTCAAAACACCTTTGACCCGTAGTTTCCCGAACTACGGTTGCTCTGATTTCTCATATCAGATGATGATACGTAGGCACAAGACGCGATGTCTTGGCGAGCAACCTCCCCCCATCACCCGTAGTTTTCCGAACTACGTTGACTCTGACTTTCCCATTACACGAGGGAATACGTAGGCATAGGACGACGATGTCCTATCGAGTCTGTTCTTTCTCTTCACCCCTGTTTAGCAGTAGCCTTTAGATAGTTTTTTCACCCATAAATTAGACGGCAAGCGTGGATCCCGTTGAGTACAACGGACGTGAGGGGTGCTCATACCTTCCCCTTGCGTAACCGACTCCCGAACCCAAGATTTGGTTGCGATGACCTTGTCTTTTTCCCTTTTTGTTAGGTTTTCTTCGATCGTTTCCTTTCCCTCTCTTTGGGATAAATAATGAACAGTGGCGACTCTTCTGTCTTTGCCGGTCCTTTTTTTCGCAGCGATGCGACAACTAGCGACTCTGCTGGGGACTTTCCCATCCCCTATGCGAGTCAATCCTAGCGTTTGTTGCTTGTTTGTGGGTTTGTATATTTTTGTGTTGTATTTTGTATATTGTTGTATTTATATTTTCCGCACTTTATTATCTATTGTTGCTGTGCTGTTGGGTGGAATTATTCCTTTGAGAGATAAACCAAAACTCAGGCTTGAGTACATACCTATTAGTTTAGAAACTACTCATACATCTCATAGGAAAGTTGTTTTTTTCTTTTTCATATCAACCATTTTTTTATGACACATAGGCAAAGTTTAGTCTACACTTAGAGGAACTATCAAATGCTATAGGGGACAAGCTTGAGGTGCTAAAACCAAGCAATTAAAAGTAAGTTAAAACATGAGGGACTAAAATTAAAAAAATTGAAAAACTTGGGGGAAAATTGCATTTAAGCTTAATATTTATTAGAAAGTCTCACATAACTATCTCAATTAGCCGACTAGCACTAAGATACCAAAGACCTAGTTGAAAGGTAAAAAACTAAGACAAATTCTACTTTTGCAGTAGCAAGCAATGGTGTATCTGATATGACTAAACAAAAGGAGCAAAATCTATTGAATCACTTCTTAAGCTTCCCAGCCCCTCAAAAGTGTTGCCCGGGCGACGCGGTTCACTGCCAAAGTAAAGGCTCCCATTCTTAGATCACATTCATGGATTTTGCACATTGCCTTGATGTCCAAGAAAGCCCTGCTCATGTATCTCTTCAGCTCCCGGTTCACTTTTTCTTCATCCCACATAAAACCTTGAATGTTCTGCAAACAACATATAGCCAGAGTGAGACTCTACATTATATTATAAGGGGGAGAAACTTGAGTGTTATGTTGTATTTCCTATTTACCTGAACCCATTCAAAGTAGCTCACGGTCACTCCACCAGCATTAGCATAAATATCAGGTATTATGGTGACTCCTCTCTTAGACAAGATCTGGAAAAATGAATTCCATTATATAATTTAAGTTCTGAACATATATGTAATAAGAAACAACACCGCTGCAAAAGTAACATTACCTCATGAGCTTCGGGGTCAGTGGGGTGATTTGCAGCTTCTACGACCAGTTTAGCTTTAATATCAGCAGCGTTTTCCCTTCAATAAGACATACCAATATTAAGTTGTAGGTCTTGAAAAGCAAAATGTTAGAGCGTAAATTTAATATAAAACTAAGGTTAATTATATGTTGTTGATTTGAGTTTAGGTGACATAGATAAACATACTTGCTTATAACCCCACCCAAGGCGCATGGGATAAGAATATCACATTCATGGGTGAGCACTTCATCTGCATCCATGACATCAGCTCCTTGGAACTCGGTCAAGTTTCCATTGCCTTCCTTGTGTTTCAGAAGAGCAGTGATATCAATTCCGTTGGGATTTTTTATGGCACCGGTGATGTCACTAACAGCGACCACCTTACCACCTCTATCAAAGATAGACTTTGCAGCCCAAGTTCCCACATTTCCAAAGCCCTGAATAAATCGTCGTAAAAATCAAATAAAAATGAAATTGATGTCTATTACATACTATATCATTTTGACATGGTGGTGAATAAATACCTGGATGACAAATGTGTGATCAGAAATTGACCTTCCATTATCAGCTAACCAGGCCTCTGTAGCAAAAATGACTCCAAGACCTGTGGCCGCCTCTCTTCCCAAAGAACCTCCAAGATCCTAGAGGCAAAAACATTAATTTAAAGCCAAATTCACAATTACTAATATCCACAAGAACAAGGGGCTTTGATGTCTCCGATGAAACACTCGTATATAATACTTACAATAGGCTTTCCGGTCACAACAGCAGGTGAGTGTCCGTGAAACTTTGAATACTCATCCAAAATCCATGCCATGGTCTGCGAAAAATAAAAAACAGATCAATGAAAAGGAAATACAAAATTGTAAAATTGTTGGATGCTAGTATCATAGAAAGAACAATACCTGAGCGTTGGTTCCCATATCAGGAGCAGGAACATCTCGTTGAGCACCAATGAGATCGTGAATCTTTTGGGTGAAAACCCGAGTTAGACGTTCTAACTCACTGACGCTTAGATCCCTCGGGTTGCAACCAATACCACCCTTAGCACCTCCGTACGGAATGTCAGCTACAGCTGTCTTCCATGTCATGAGCTGAGCTAGAGCATTCACTTCGTCAGGTTCAACCTGGCACAAAAAAATTGACAATTTAATATTCCAAAGTATAATAGAGTATTAGATTGTTAACCAATAGCATTCACTTCATCAGGTTCAACCATATCAGCTTGCAATTTCAAAGATCGGGTAAATGCAATTTAAAGCACTGACAACAAATTGCATTGCATTATCATATTCCAGAAAACAATAAATGGAAAGGAATATCTACATGATCTCATAATCTCATGATTAGATTCAGAATACCGTAATAGGTGGCCAGAATTTCAACGGCTTCCAACAGTAATTGCAGTCAAAAATATTAAACTTCCAAAGCTATCTACAACCAGTTGTACAATCGTAATGGCAGACATATTGTTCCTTGTGAATAGATTCAGAATAGCAAAATATGCAAGCTTAAATTTGAAATAGGTTTATGCTAATACATTACCACAACAGAAGTAGCATACTGACACAGTACATTTATATAACAGAAAACCAGTGCACACAAGAAATAACCAAATATCACCTAATATCAAAACCAGTGCAAAAAAAAATCACAATTTTGCATGATTACAAAACAAGACAAGTATCATAAAAAAGTAACCACATTAAAAAAAAAACTTAAAAGAATTGATCAGAAAACACATGCATGACACCCCAAACACAATTTTTAAATGAAAAATATCTAATAAATCAGAGTTTTATCAAATCAAAAAGCACATAAAATTAAAAAAAAAAATGTATTAGAAGAAAAAATGAGAACCTCAGGATGATAACGAATCCCTCCCTTCATAGGACCACGAGCATTGTCGTGTTGGATCCTAAAACCGACGTAAGAGACCAGAGTTCCATCATCTTTCGGGATCGTGCATTCAACCTACAAATCACACACAACAACAGAGAAAGTAAAAATCCCTTTCCACAAAACGCAAATTAAAATAAATAAAAAATCATATTTTTACGATGCAGAGAGAGAAAAACACGCAAATTAAAACATAGGCTAAAACAGAGGATTAAAAAGATGATAAAAACCTTGATCTCTCTGAAGGGAATGAGAAGACTCTTCTCAAGTTTGGAATCCAAACCGAGAATCCTAGCGGCACGTTGGAAATTGCGGTTTGTTGCAGCAAGAGCATTCATAGTGATGAATTGAGTGAGAGTAACGAGGAGTGAAGTGTTGTTGATTCGCTAGAAGAATGAGCAAGATTGAGAATACAAGAATCGCACTAACTCTGCATTTTATAGGTTAAACACAAAAACGTGGCGAACATTCAATTCAATACCTATCGCATAAAAACATTGAACAATTGAAACAATAAATAGAAGGAACTGAATTTTTGTTTGTTTTAAAATATTTTTTATTTTTTATTTTTTTTGAGATTTTCTCCAATACTAGTATTAGTCTTATTTGTTTTTTTGTTATATATAAAACCCACCTGTATCCACGTGTGTATTCTTAGGTTATAATAGTTATTTTAATTGTATTTTGTTATTGTATTGCAATAAGATTGGCGAATAAATTTATGTTTTTTTTAAGAATAATTAACGTTATTATTTGTTTGACTAAACACACATGTATCCACATGTGTGCCCTTATCTTATAAAATTGTGTTTTATGGGAAATAGAGACTTTTTTCTTTGACTTAAACTTATCTGAAAATTAAACCTGATATCTATCACTAAAATAATTTACTTTTTTCTATTCAAACTAAAATAATATAGCATATTCTTCGAATGTTTGGATTTAACATCATACATTTCCTGTTTTGAAATATTTTACTCAAATAATGATACACATTAAAAATGTATAAATAAGGCTGAAATTCCAATTTTTTTTCTAATTTTTTTAATATGTAATTTGCACTCTTTCTTATAGCTAAATTTTGATATTTTTAAATTTATTAAATAAATAATATATTTAAAATATATACATATTAAATACATTGATTTTTGTTTGTTTTGAAAAGAACAAAAATATATTACCATACCAAAAAAGATACAAAACATGACGATAAAACGATTCAGCTATCCAACCAACCTAAGACACTAAATACCCATTAAGTAACATAAGCATGCTAACATGTTTTCTAATTTTGATGTTCAACCAAAACCTTTGTACCAAAGAATTCACTATATTGAAAACAATATTTTTTCAATAAATACATCTATTAAATATATCGATTATTTAATGAATCTATAAAAAAAATTGGAAAGAGTATTTATCTTTAAATTTTATAAAAAAATATATGTTGTTTAACTAATAAAAAATGTATTACGTTAATTTTAGGTTTAATTAATTTTTAAAATTTTGTAACTTAATTGAAGATTTTATGTTGATTATTTAACAAATTTTATAATTTAGTCTTTTAAATTTATTAGGCTATGACATGTGCAATGTGCCGGTGTACATTAAATTTTTTTGTATTGAAGTTTATAATATAATTAAAATATTTTTTATAAAAAAGATGGTGTATTATTCCTAAAATAAAAATATATGCTTAAAATATATAAATAATATATATAATTGTAATATTTTTTAGTTTATTGGAGTTAGTCGTATTTAGGAGAAAATGTTTAATGCATTCTATAAATAAATTAAATTAAATTCACTTTTATGTCCGTAGTGTTTGATATGATGAATTTCTATATTTTTTACATTATATTTATTAAAGACAATCATGTTTAGGAGAATAATGTTTAATACATTCTCATAAAAAAAATTAAGTTTATTTTTTTATACATATATTTAATATATTGATTTTTTTTCATAATTATTAAGAAAATTATCTTATAGACGATTATATTTAAGAGAATAAGTTCTAATATACTGCTTTTTTTTTTACAATTGTTAGAGCTATATCTAAAAATTAAATTTAGATTTTTATGAATATAAAAGTGATAGAGTTTTTATGTTTTAGATATTTATAGGTGTATTTATTAGAGATAATTATATTCAGTGCATTATTAAAAATAATTAAATTAAATTCACTTTTTTAATGCATATATCTAATACGTTGATTTTTTATTTATTTATAAATTTCAGTAAAATCTCTAAAGAAATTGAATTTATTTAATTTTTTTTAGTACTTAACCTTCTTTATTTGTGAGATTATGCAATGTTATAATAGAGAATGAAGGAGTATTTATCTTTAAATTTTATTAATAATATATTTTTTAACTAATAAAAAATAACTGTATTGTCATGTATTACGTTAATTTTAGGTTTAATTAACTTTTAAAATTTTTAATTTAATTAAATATTTTATGCTTATCATTTGTTTAACAAAATTTATTATTTAGTCTTTTAAATTTATTAGGCTATGACATGCGTAATGCATTTTTCTTGTATTGAAATTTATGATATAATTAAAATATTTTTTTTATAGAAAAGACAGTATATTATTCATAAAAGAAAAATATATGTTTAGAATATAGAAATAATATATAGAATTCTTATATTTTTTTAGTTTTTATAAATTACTTTTATTGGAGATATTCGTAATGCATTCTATAAAAAAAATCACTTTTATGCACATAGTATTTAATATGATAAGTTTTTATTTTATTTTTTTAATATTTTATAGATTATATTTATTAAAGACAATTACATTTAGGAGAAAAATGTTTAGTGTATTCTCAAAAAAAAAATTTTAATTTACTTTTTTATACATATATCTAGTACTTATTTTTTTTTTCAGAATTTTTAAAGAGTCATATAATAGACGATCATATTTAGGAGAATAAGGTCTAATAGGTTGATTTTTTTCATAATTTTTAGTGTCGTCTCTAAAAAAATTAAATTTACATTTTTGTGAATATGAAAGTGAAAGAGTGTTTATATTTTAGATATTTAATCAGAACATTTATTAGAGACGATTATACTCAGTGTATTATCAAAATAATTAAATTAAATTCACTTCTTTAATGCATATATCTAATAGGTTGATTTTATTTTATTTTTATAATTTTTAATACAATCTCTAAAGAAATTAAACTCCTTTAACTATTTTTAATATTTAATATTTTGTCTTTTTATTTGTGTGTTTATGCAATGTTTTTGGGTTAAATTTCTCTCCCAAATAATTGTTTAATGTAGAGAAAATAATTCACACACAGTCTGACAATTTGAAATAAATAAAATTGAAATTTTTACTTGTAGCATTTTTTTGGGTTATGTTGTAAAATAGATCAATTATATTTAAATAAAACTTATATCTTCTTGTTGTGGGGGACAACCTGAGTATGAATACGGTGAAGAACTTTATGCAGAGAATGTGGAATTTCGTGAAGATGCCAGATTTATATTACCACGATGACGACTATTTTCTGCCCAGATTTAACTCCCAGGAAGACAAGGAAGCAGTCATGATGAAAAACCCATACACAATTCGAAACATGTCCATGATATTGAAGGAATGGCAAACTAGTTTCAACTTAAAGAAGGATCTGCTAAGAACTTTACCAATTTGGGTCAAACTCCCCCAACTTCCCCTGCATCTATGGGGGGCAAAAAGTCTCAGCAAAATTGAAAGTGCTATTGGCAAACCGTTGGTGACTGATGAATGCATTGCAAATAAGCTTCGTGTATATATGCAAGACTACTGATTGAGATAGACATTACACAACCTCTGATTGATGAAATAGCCATTAGAAATGTTGAAGGTGATATAATAATGCAACCTGTGAATTATGAATGGAGACCAACATTATGTGAAACATGTCAAAAAATGGGGAATAAATGTGAAGATCGAGGGAAGAAAGAACAATGGATACCAAAACTCAAGCCACCAGAAACTTCCGCAAACATAACGCCTGTAAAACCACCAGAAAGAGAGGAGACAACAAGAGCAGGAAGAGACTCTTGGACAAGAGCGCGAAAGTTTGTACGAGATAAAGGTAAAAATATAGTGACTGATACAACCAACAACATCAACTGTAACAATGGTTTTGAAGCACTTGAGGTTTTGAATGACCATCAAGTGACCACAAACCCTGAACCATGTTAGTCTCATGGAACATAAGGGGACTCAATAAAGTAGGCAAAATTCGTGAGATTCGGTCCCGTCTCCAAGAGCTAAAGCCTGCTATTATTATTTTGATTGAAACCAAAGTTAAAGAAGCTAAAGCCAAGACCATTAGAGAGAAACTGGTGATGTATGATAATCACATTGACAATTACAAAGACCATATAAATTGTAGAATCTGGATTCACTGGGATAGTAACAGGGTGAATGTGAAGTTCATACGAAGTAACAGCTAATGTATCCACTGTGGCATCTATGATAATTGTGGAGAATTCAAGCACTGGCTAACTGCTGTATATGCTCATAACCAACTAAACCAAAGGAAAACCTTGTGGGCAGAAATAAAACACATATATGGTAGCATCCAAGGGCCTTGGTGTGTTATTGGAGATTTCAACAATGTAACTGAATCCCAAGACAAAATAGGAGGGAATCTAGTGACTGAAAGGGAGTATGTAGACCTGACAAAAATGATGGAGAATACAGGTTTAAGTGAAATGGATAGCATTGGGGATCATTTCACATGGTCCAATAAACAAATAGCTGGTCCCATTTACTCAAGAATTGATAGAGTCTTGGGCAATACTGATTGGTTCCTCACCAATATGAAGACTACTCTAAGAATCCTCCCACCTAATATCTCTGATCATGCCATGCTTTAGGAAACCCTCCAGATAGTTTAAATTTAGCAATTGCATTATTGAACTGCCAGGTTATGACACTTTGGTAAAGAAGAATTGGGATGACCATATTAGGGGTAGTCCAATGTTTGTTCTTTGGCACAAACTCAAAAGATTGAAGCATGAGTTAAAATACTTCAGCAAACCTTCTATCTGATGTTAAAACCAAGTTGGTATCTGCTAGAAATACCCTGAAAGAAACACAAGAAAAGCTGAGGAATGACAGAATGGACAACAACTTGATTGGGAAAGCAAAAGATCTGACTGAAGAAGTGATATCCCTGAACGAAATGGAATGGAAGATTCTGCATCAAAGAGCAAAGATTGACTGGATTAGGAAGGGAGATGGCAACAATCAATATTTCTATGCTGCTATCAGAGGTAGACATCACTCCAACTGCCTTACCAACTTGAAGAAGAGTGATGGCAGTCAGAT